ACAGAGAAAGTACCCCTAGTGGGGATGTGATCATACTGTAAACCCATCTCCTCTATTTCTCCGTCCTACTGGGATTTGGGGCACACATGTACACATATGCAGTGGTTTTTTTGTTTGTTTGTTTTGTTTTTTTGCTATAGGACGTGTACACTCATCAGACAGAGACAGAGAGATAGAAATCGAGAAATCACCCCCCAGGGGGGATGGCCACGCCACAATCCCTTCTCCTCCATTCTCCTCGGGATCTTGGGCACACACACACACACGCCCGGTGTGAGTTTAAGCCACTGGGTTCGGGACTCGAACCGTGGTCGACTACATGGGAGTCCAGCGACATAGCAGTTACGCTAACTGCTGGTCCCTGCAGTGTGTTTTTCAGGTTGCCAGGGACAAGACTTGAACCACTCTGTCAGCTCTGTGGGATCTGGCTCCCTTGACCCTCTGTCTCTTTCTGGCAAACACACAAACCCTCTGACAAATTAAAAATTAAAAAATATATAAAAAAGTAAAGTGGGCCAGCTGGTATCCTGGTGATTGGGGTAGCTGGATCTCACAAGGTCAACTACATGGTTTGAGTCCCAGACCTGGTGGCTTGAACAACACACTGGGCACGTGTGCATACATGCCCCAAATCCCAAGCCCAAAAGGAGTGGAGGAGAAAGGACTATGGTGTCGCCATTCTCCCTGGGAGGAAAGGGGAATGTGCTTTCTCACTCTCCCTTTGTCTCTACACTGGGAGTGCGATAGAAAAACCTTAGGGGGAAAAATGTGACTGATTAGCATAATCCTTACAAGTTTGAGCTGTAAATTCAAAAAAATCTAGAATGGAATCCATACTTTGTCCTATTTATTAGCTATGCAATCTTGGGAAAAGTAATCTACTCTCACTGAGCCACTTCTCATCTGTAAAATGGAGACAATAATACCCACCTTACAAAGTTGTCATAGAAAATTAGATGAGAAATAATGTACGGAAGCCAAAGGCAAAGTAAGTACTCAATAAAATGACCGCCAATATTAGTGTTATCAGATCTCTACAGCAGTAGCTTTCAAACTTTGTTTTTCTTTCTATGAGGAGCAATTATCTTTGTTTTACATAGAAACACAGCTGAGGGGCCAGCAGGTGGTGTGGTGGTTGAGGCACTGGACTTCCACATGGCCAAATGTGGTTTGAATCCCAGACCTGGCAGCTTGCTTTCTCACTTTCACTTTCTTTCTTTCTCTCTCTCTCTCCCCCTTCCTCTTTCCTTTCTTCCCTCCCTCCCTCCCTCTAGTTAAATTAAAAGATAATAATAACAAATAAAATTAAGTAAATCTTTAGGGGAAAAAAAAAGCTGAAACATAAATTTGAGGAAGCAATACTTTATTGTTTGGCTTCTTGACTTTTAAGCAGGTCCTTTGTTTTCTTTTTTTAAAAGAATTATTTAACTTTATTTATGTAGTTAGTTAGTTGGTTTTAATTTGAACAGAGAGAGAGAGAGTGGGAGTGTAGAAAGCAAGCTACCAGGTCCGGGACTTGAACTACCGGCTCCAGCCAGGTCCTCTGTTTTCTGTCTCTTCCCTCCTTAGTGATATATTTCCTTCCTCTAACATTGTCTAAGAACACAGACCCTGGGCTTATCTCCCCCAGGCAAGAGCTGGGAGGATTCACCTCTGGAATAACTTACTGGTTCAAAAGAAACATCAGTTAAAAAAAAATTGCCATTTCAAGTACTCTAACTAAAGTCCAGGTTGCCCTACAGAGAGGTCTATCAGTCAGTAAACAAATCTAGACCACTCTGTGGGTTCTCAATGAGTGTTTTAGTGCTTTACCCTTAAATAGACACCCATCTATCAGAAATTTGAGGAAAGCTTCCAAAATGAAAGGAAAAAAAGCACAGGGAAAGGAATTTGGAAGAAAGAGATATAATATAGGAAGCAAAAGAAAAATTCTAAAAATACTGCAACCATATTCCTGGAGAAATAAGAGTCAGACATGAACAAAAAGAACAAATTAAAATTAGAAATGAAAAGTTTAACATAATTGTTATATTTATTAGAAACTTCAATAGATAAAATAGAGGAAATTGTAAAACAAAAACATATAAAATAAACCAAGTAATAAAAAGAAAAAGAACTGGCAGACCAATCCAGCAGATCAATTATCTAGTGATAAAGTTGTAAGAAGATAAGAGACAAAAAAAACAGGAGAAAGACATTATCAAAGAAAGAAGAAAATTTCCTATATTGAAAGAGACTGTGGGGCCAGCAGGTGACATAGTGGTTAAGGTGTCAAATCCCAGATGGCTGACTACATAGTTTGAGACCCAGACATGGCAGCTTAAATAACACACCAGGTAAATGTGCATGTGTACCCAAAATTTCAAGGGGAGAATATAGGAGAAGGGATTGTGGCACAACCATTCCCTTTGGAGGGTGATTTCTCACTTTCCCTCTCTCTATATTTGGTAAGAGCATGTGCACTATAGCCAAAAAAAGTATAGAAAAGAAAAAAGATCCTATTGGATATCTGAAAAAAAGGCCTAAACAAAAGTACACGACAGTACAACACTGCAAATTTTCAAAACGCTAAAGATAAAGAAAAGATTCTAGGGACCAGCAGTTGGTGTAATGGCTACTTCACGGGACTCCCATGTAGTCGACCGCAGTTCAAGTCTTGGACCCGGTGGCTTAAACTCACACCAGGCACGTGTGCATGCGTGCCCAAGATCCCGAGAGGAGGATGGAGGAGAAGGGACTGCGGCGTGGCCATCCCCTCTGGGGGGTGATTTCTCGTTCTGTCTCTCTGGCAAGCCCATGTGCTCTATAGCAAAAACCTCTCCAAAAAAAAAAAGAAAAGAAAAGAAAAAGAAAAGATTCTAGGACCAGCAAATGGTACAGAGGTTAAGGCAGCTAGATCTCACATACCTGGCTATGTGGTTTGAGTACTGGACCTAGCAGCATGAAAATCATGCCGTGTATGTGTATGTGTATGTGTGCCCCAAATTCCAAGAGAATGAAGGAGAAAAGACTGTAGCATAGCCACTGGGTGATTTCTCACTTCCTTTCTCTCTCTCCCCCCTTCTCTCTGTTTCACTCTCCAGCAAGCACATGTGGCCTATAGCAAAAACAAAAAAAGAATATTATAAAAATTCCATAGAGAGGGCAGAAAAGAGATGAGAGCTTACATTAAAAAAAATAAATGAAAATTGCATCAGACTTCCCAACTTGAACAACACTGGAAGTTAGAAGACTACCAAGCAATGCCTTTAATATTCTGAAAGAAATATCTTTTCCAACCTAGAACCCTGTGCATGTTCAAACTTATCAATCAAGGTAAGCATAACACCAGGGCCAGCAGGTGGTGTGGAGGACGAGGAGCTGGATTCCCACAGGGCTAACCATGGTTCATGTCCCAGACTAAGTGCCTGAAAAATCACACTATGTGGGGCTGGCAGGTGGCATGGTGGTTAAGGGTACTGGACTCCCACATGGCTGATTATGGTTCGAGTCACCAACCTGGCAGCTTGCTTTCTCACTTTCTCTCCCCCTCTCTCTCTCTCTCTCACTGTGTCCCTCTCTGGTCAAATTAAAATAAATAAAGTTAAATAAAATAATTCTTTTAAAAAAAGAGAGAGCAAAGAAATCAAAGTAGGCACATGTGTGGATACCCAAAATCCAAAGAGTATGGCGGGGAAGAGATTACAGAGTGGCCACCCTCCCTGAGGGATGATTTTTTACTTGCCCACTTTGTCTCTCCCTCTGGTGAGTGCATGTACTCTATAGCAAAAACAAAAACAAAACAAAACAAAAGCATAATCTATTTTACAGCCTCAAAATGGAAGGCCCCAAATTTTAATTTCCATGTCTCCTACCTCAAGAAGCAGGCCAAGAAAAAGGAAGACATCAGATACAAGAATCAAAGGATCCTAAATGGGAGTCCCCCAAAAAATTGTGAAAGCAACCAGTTCAAGCCACAGCAAGAGGCTGGTAGTCTCCAGGAGAAATGTCACCTGG